ACCCCCCCCCCCACTCCCATCTCCTTCAATCTCCCTCCCGTTCTCTCCAAATACCCTCCCTCCTGTACGCTTCAATCTCCCTCCTGGCCATCCTCTCCAAACCCCTCGATCCCTTCTCCTTCAAATCCCCTTCCCCTTCCTTCCAGTGACAAAGTTTTGTTTTAAAGATTAAGCTATTAATTACTATGGCGAGTATAATAATTTTTGTTCAGCAGCAAGTCTTTAAAAATTAAAGTAAATTTAAATATTATTGGTTCAATTAAATTTAACAAAATATTTGAATATAGCAGGTACGAGAGAATTAAAAAAATATGATTTAATTATCAATTATGGATTAAAATAATGATAATATTTAATATTTATATTTCAGAGTGCGCAGGGTTCTCCGTTTAAACTGACAATAGGAGAATCCATAGATAGGATTAAAGATGAATTCAACTTTCTACAGTCACAGTACAACAGGTAGATATACAATAGACAATAGACTATAGACAGGTAGATAGACAGTAGACATTAGACTGGTAGATAGACACTAGACAATATACGCTAGACAGGTAGATAGACAATAGACAATAGACAATAGACAATAGACGCTTGACAGGTAGGTAGACACTGGACAATAGACTGGTAGATAGACACTAGACAATAGACAGGTAGAAAAAAACACTACAATATACAGGTAGATAGACAATAAACAGGTAGATAGACACTAGACAGGTAAATATACACTAAGACAATAGACAGGTAGATAGACAATAGACAGGTAGATAGATACTAGACAGGTAGACAGGTAGATAGACACTAGAGAGGTAGATAGACACCAGAGAGGTAGATAGACACTAGACACTAGACAGGAAGCTAAATACTAGACAGTTAGATAGACACTAGACACTTGATCGGTAAGTAGACACTAAACTGTAAGATAGACACTGATAGATAAATTTGATCTCCAAGGTGTAAGTCCTCAGGAATGAATGTGTAAAAATATATTTACGACTTCTAATAAATATTATTTATGTCTGAATCCTTCTTTATCGATTCATTTGAAATACTAAGCCCTTTATTGACAATTTACGGATCTATTAAACAATTCCTAGGACTTCTAACCACAGCCTTTTCTTAATGCACCACAGACTTTTAACCTAACCACAAAGTAGCCCCAGACCCCTCCCCCTTCCTTTCAACGAACAATGATCAATTTCCTTCTACCTTAGTGTTACAAAAATTAGGATTTAATCTCATTTTTTCTTTAAATCAATAGAATCCACTTGTGATCAGAATAGGGGGTTTCAATTTTTGAAGAATTGAGGAAATGATTTTCGTTATTTTTTTTCGGTATGTGAGGGCAAAAAATTTATTTACTTTTTCAAAATTCATCTGTTTTCCTAAAGCAGCGATATAAAGCTCAACTTAAGCATAGGAGAATAAATTACTTATATAAAATAAATACCCTTGGTTAAAGGGGCTAATAATATTTTTACTATTTATCATTTTTTATTTTTTGAACATCTATTTTATCTTTATTTAATGATATATTTTCCTAGTTTGAAGCTGGAGTGTGAAAAGCTAGCGCAGGAGAAAACAGAAATCCAACGACAATATATAATGGTGAGTGAGGAAATAAGATTTAGCAAGTGATTTAGACTGAAATTATATCCTAATTTGTAATTGGAGGTAGAGGATTACATCCCTTTCTCTTCGCTACATCTAATCTTGTTTTCTTTCCATTATATTAGTACAGGGTTGCCTACAAAGGCTGAGACTTAATTCAGAGACTAATGTAGAAAAATTGATTAATTCTTTCTTATACTTACAGTTCCCTGCAGTTGTAAGCTAATTTTTTTTCATTGGCTAATCAAATAGATTTGTCATTTATAAACTTCATTGAAGATGAAAGACAATGTTAGCTTTCCGTTCATAATATTTAAAGAGTTACATGTCGTCATTTTAGTCTCAACCTTTGTAGATAACCCTGTAATATAATCTTCTTCTTTCATAATAATTTTAAGTTATGTACGATTCACAACAGTGCCCTTTTACGCCTTTTTTTGGTCAAGAATAAATGAGAATTTTTGTTTTACTTTGAAAATTAAATATCTTTAATTTGGGATTTTTCTAAAAATAAAGTTCTGCAAAATCAATAGAGCTAATTATTCAAAGGTATGATAGGTACCGATGTGAATTGAACATGCCTATTTTTTTTAATAGGGGGTCACTTGAAATTTTAATGACAGTCCCTTTAAGAAAATGACTAGATGTTTGGCCACTAAAATTCAAAGAATTAAATTACGGAATAATTATTGACATTAAGTGTTATCTTAATAAAACTGTAATTCTGTGTACAAGGTTTTATTTTTAAACTTATTTCTCACTTCAGTTTATAGCGAGGGAAAACTTTATTTCTGAATTATCCAAGTTTTTGTAAAAAATGACACACAACAGTTTTTATCAGGCTGCTGAGGTTTCATTTTGGGACAGTTTTAGGACGTATAAATATGCTCTTTGAACTCTATTAAAAAGCGGCAAAAAGTTCTAACTCTAATCCACCATGTTAAAGCGTTTTCACACGTTTAGATAAATTTCGTCTAGATTCAACATGACATGAAAGACTTGAGTTCAAGCGTATTGAATGCCTTGAAGCTTACACTTGGTGCTTTTTATACCTGGGCGCAACTAGAATGTTTACAGGGGGGGCTAAGCTAAATTTCAATTGACCCTCCATGTAAAGATGACAATGCCCGATTCACAACGGTACCCTAAAAAGCTTTGTCGGATCAAGGATGATTTAGATACACATATTCATAATTTAGAAAATGATTATTATTAGTTATTTCTTTATTAATTATTTGAAATTATTTTATTTTTTTTAAAACATCTTTAAATTAAAATTTTTTAAGTACTATGAGATGTCCTATGGCCTCAATGTGGAGATGCATAAACAGGTGAGAATTGTTTTATCATTTTTATCAAACTATTTTATTGACTTTGTTGTTATAAATGTCATATTGTTGATTCTTAGATATTGAGAATGTCTCAAATTTAGTAATAAATATTAAATTCAATTAAAATTAAGACTTGAGCTACAGTTTTATACGAATGGGGCCTGAAGTCGGGGGAGATCATAAATTTTGAACGGTTGATCTCGATATTCAATACGGGCACCTTTTAAATGCTTAATCTCTAAGTAAATGATATCCATATAGAGTATAATAATTATCACCGTATATTTAAATTAAATTAATCTGTAGATTTGCATAAGATAAAGTGCTTGATTCTGATATTCCAGCTCTGATTATTTTTGACACCCTATCATTGTTCTTGTATTATCTCTAAATGTGTGTTCATCACTAAATGTTTGCTTAAGACTCGTTAGTACAGAGCAGCATAAATTTGAAATCTCATTCTTATTTTTCCCCCCCCCCCCCCCCACCAAAAAAAACTCACATTAGAAATGAAGGCATGGAACTTTGTTTTGTTTAATTTTAACCAAATCAATTGAAAGCAGAATGCAATTGCAAAAGATTAAAAAGAAGAGTTTCTCATCTTAAAAGTTTTTAAACAGTTGGTTTTTAGCAAAAAAAATTTTTATTAGTTTTAATATCAACGAAAAGATTTAAAATTAATGCCCTCATGCCCCCTCCCCCCTCTATCTATCTACAATTCAAATATTGACTATAAACTCTCCTATATTGTCGTGAAAAAATAATAAGTTCTTCAAACTTTAGATAAATATTTTATTTTCTGAAAAAAAAGTTTAAAACGTACTTTGCCCTATATCCATTTCTTTTGTTTTCTAAACTTTGAAGATTTTTTTTAAGAAACTAAATTTTCGTGATTAACTCAATCCCCCCCCCTCCCTTGTAAATTATAGAGCAATCTTTCCTAATATCTAATCTTCGGCAGAGAGAAGGGTTTTACGTAATTATTTTTTTGAAAGAATACATTTGACCTGTTGGCCCCTTGATGACCTATAGTTAAGTGGGTGTGCACAGTTTAGGTTTATTACTCTCCCAAGCCGAGGATTTTACGAGGATTCCCTTTAACTCTTTTCATGAGTCGGCTCCGCTATAAAATCCGATAAATTACCAATAAAAAGTTTAAACCGCAAAATTCAAAACCAACATTAACCACTACCCGCCATTTTTGATTAAGTAGAAGGGGACTTATATAAATAGTGATTTTGATAGATTTGCTTGGTTTGTTTTAAGTGGTACAGTTTGGCCCTTTGCAGGAGACTTTATTGCTCTTTAAATATAACAAGAACTTTGTAATCCATTAATTAAGAATAAGCAAGAAAAAATAGTTTAAAATTCTCTTTTTAAGGCTTATCCTTTTTGAGTAGCTGTGTAAATGTTAATGTTAATGAATTAGCATTGAGCTAATTGTGTTCTTTCATTTTTCTTTATTTTTTCTAATTTTTATTTTTACCATTTTTTTCTTTTTTTTTAGACCGAGATTGTGAAACGAATGTCTGCTATTATAGCACAAGTACTTCCTTTTTTATCACAGGTAGCTTTAAACCCTTATTAAGTTATCTCTTTTTGAAAACATTTTTTAAAAGAACGGATATTTACTTGGGCAATTTTATAAAAAATATAATAAATAAATAAAACATTCCTACGAAAGCATGTATTTTGGAATGAAAAATTATTAGGGGCAAAAATTTTAAATTAGAAATCAATTTTACTATTTTTTAGCCCAAAAATTGTTTCATTTTCCCTGAAAATTTCCCCCTATTTCAATGAAGAAAATTTTTTAAATATTTCCCCTGGATATGATGTGAGGTTAACCTGAATCTTTGTCCAGGAGCACCAGCAGCAGGTAGCTACAGCTGTAGAACGAGCTAAGCAGGTCACCATGACTGACCTAAACTCTGTCGTCTCGGGAGGGGTAAGTTAAATTTTTTCAAATACAAAAAAATTAGAAAATTTATAAATTAATTTTTTTAAATTAAAAAATATATTGTTTATTTTGATCAGTCTTTGTATTTTCTCTTTCAAACTTTTTATTGAAACAACAAAGGTACAGATCTGAGAAAATTGTGTAATAATGATAAAAAAAACACGAATATTCATTTATATATATATATATACAAAGATGCTTCTCGCAAATTACTCTCTAATTTAAGGTATGGAATTTAAACTAGTAAAGACTTAACAACTCTGAGATCTGGAATAAGATCTTACATGAAATGAAAAAGGACCTCTCTTTTTGAATATAATAGAAATAATATTTTCAGCGACCCGATATAGCACGCCTGATGCAGCTTCACGCACATGCGCAAGCTAACCTTGCCGGAGCTGTTTCCGGTCCTCCTGGACTTCCTCCCGGCTTTCCCAACGGAGGTCTCGGCCTCCCTCCAGGTCTTGCTGGCCTTCAGCATGGAATACCGACCTCGTTGTCCAACTCCCTCCTCGGCAGCCTCCCAACCAGCATAGCAGCATCGCTTGGTGGCCTCGGTCCCGGTCCTCTACATCCAGCTCTTAGTATGCTCAAACCTCACCTCCCCCTTGATCATAAACGGGACGAAGATGTGCGAAAAAGTCTTTCTGAGAGCAACGGTAATTTTTCCGGAAATTTTCTGACAAAACTTTTTAAATTTTCTCTCCTTTATGAAGAAATACTTTCTTACTTGCGTATCTAATATGAAGGATGATAGTTTTATTTCTTGTGATAAAACTGCAATATTCTAGTTTATGTTCCAACCATCAACATTATATTTCGTTCAGCTTAATGCATTAAAGAGGATGTTTTAAAACTTGCCCTTTAAACTATCTGGCGAGAGTTTGCAACCTTTCCCTTTATTGACTTGAGTTGAATGTATAGTGTTCCATGTTGGTCTCTTGGGACTTTTACCTTAGATTGCTACCCCCTGCAGGAAAACATTTAGAAAGTATCAGATTTTAACACTTTTCAAACTAATATTGATCAGATAATGGTATCAAGGGTATCTTTGTAATTTGGGCAACTCTACATTCTACACTTTATATTCTTTACTTCTCTACATTCTACACTTTAAATTCTTTATTTCTCTACTCTTTACATTTATACTAAACCATTATTGAAAATATTTGTTTAACGCCCAATATAACGTTTAGATATTACTGTTGTTTTATTTTGTGAATTATAAAGAATAATTTTGTAATTATCTTTTGTATATTTTTAGCCAGCATGATTTCACAGCAGTCCTCTGAGGATAGACATGTAAGTGAAATATCATTCTTATTCAATTAAAATCTTTTTGATTGTTTAATTTTAAATTAATCACCATTAATCATTGATAGCTCAGTTTTACTTATTAATTTTAAGATTAAATGTGAGAACTCTGAAAATTAATAGCAATGCTGTTAATACTAATGATAAAAAATTCAATCCGGTTTTGAAAATACAAAACTCATTCAACTCACGCGTATTTAAAGTGATAAAAACATTAAAAATAATTTTTGTACCATTTTTATTATTTTTTTTTTTGCTAGATTTTTCTTCCTCTTATGTTTTATTTTTATTTTCATTTAGACTAACAGTGTTGATGTAGAAGTATGTAATCAACTAATCATGTTTTCTATTTATTTGTTTAAAAGTTAATCTTAGCTCTACCTCACGTTAAACTTTGATTACAGCTACCGCGCCTTCTATTTCTGATTACAGTCGAGCTAATCTGTATGCCCCCCCCCCCCCCCCTCCCACCACACAGAGTTGGTTTAGGTCTGAGCTAATGACAATAAAACATTATATGGCAAGGCTATCACTCCTTTCAGGGCATATCATAACCATCGAGGGTTGGCACTCGTTCTCATTCTTGTTGCCACCGCCAGCTCCCCCCTCCTCCTTCTACCCCCTAAGAGAAAAATATAAGCTGTTTATTCAGTATGCATGTTCAAATGTCGATTTGTAACGAGTTATAGCACTTAATGAATACTGAATAAACTAATTAAGTTGATTTAATGCAATATATTAATTCTAGGCTCTCTAGACGGATAATATTACTTACCAAATTTCTACTAAACCAGCAAGATTTAAAAACATTTATTTATTTACTCATTCTATGTTTTCAAGAACTACTAGTCGGGGGGTATGGTTTTTTTTATTTTCTAATTTTTCAAGAAAATACTATACCCTAGAATAAACCAAGTGGATCAAATTTTAATGCTTTCTAGTACGGTCGTTTGATCAAATGGTGAATTTCAAAATAATTTATTTCAGAGAAGTTCCTTGAGTCCTGGAGACCTCAGTCGACATCATCATCGTTCCTCCCCGCAAAACAGTCGAGGTTCTCCTCATCTCAAGAAAATAAAACGCGACGTTGACACCAGCGACGGAGAACGATCTGACCAGGATCTTGTAGTCGATGATGCAAACGATGTTCCCTCTGGGACGAACGGAAACCACCATTCCTCTGGGTCGGAGGAGAACGGAAAAAAGTCTCCGACAAGTCCGGGCTCCGAGAGTTCGACAAGTCAGAAGAAACGAGAAAGTTCTGGAAAAGGAAAACCCCCGACTCCGAAACCGATGGGAACTATTACTCCTTTATCTAGTAAGTTACTTAAAGTTCTCTGTTAATATTCCATCTTCCTTCAAAATTGAAATATTGTTCTTTTACATCCTAATTTTATATGCTAAGCTTCCCTTCTCGTTTTTATATGTTTCCCCTTTTCCACATTTTTCTTTTTATTTCTTCACCATTTTCTAATCTCTCGCTGATATCCCTGGAAATTAAACAATTCCCCTTCTCTGGTTTCCCTCTCTTTTCAATCCCCTCCCCCCCCCCCCCATTCCTCCTACTTTACTCTCTCCCTTTTAAAATCTGATAAAGCTTGAATGGTTTTGTATAATATCCTCTAGTGTTAAACATAGATCTTTATCATTACTCAAACCCTTCTAGACGGAAACTTCGGTCCACAAAACCATTCTAAACTCTTCTTTATGCCAAATTTAGACTTATCAACTCCTTCTAGCTTCTAGCTTCAAATCTTTTCCTGGTGTTCCTGTTCAACCCCTTTATTTAAAGCCTAGACTTATCAATATTTATTCCAAACTTAGACTAATCAAACCCTTCTTTATTCCAAACCCAGGCTTATCAAACCCTTCTTTATTCCAAACCCTGGCTTATCAAACCCTTCTTTATTCCAAACCCAGGCTTATCAAACCCCTCTTTATTCCAAACCCAGGCTTATCAAACCCCTCTTTATTCCAAACTTAGACTTATCAAACCCTTCTTTATTCCAAACTTAGACTTTTCAAATATTTCTTTATTCCAAACTTAGACTTTTTAAACCTTTCTTTATTCCAAACCTAGCCATGTTTTTCATGTTTTTCTGTTTTTCTTTATTTCAAACTTAGACTTATTAAACCCTTCTTTATTATCAAATATTTCTTTATTCCAAACCCTTATATTTTCAAGACCCTTCTTTAAGGAATACATAAACTTATCAAATCTTGTTTTATTCCAAACTTTAGTTTTTTACCACTTTTTTGTGGAAGCTTTTGTTTGTCCAAATGATATGAAAACCTTAGATTTAGATTTCTTTTCTTTCTCTTGATTTTTTAAAAAAGTTAAATAAAAAATTAGTGCTTAAATTAATTTATTTTTTTTTAACAAGAACGTTTCTGTGAGATGGAACTAATAATTCAGATTTTAATATTCTAGGTGGATTCCTATTTCCCGAAGGATCAACTCCTCCCAGCCTTCTCAACGGATTAAGACCTCCACTAGGCTCGGACCCCCGCCCTGCCCTCCCCCCAGGGATCTCCCAAACCAAACCGTAAGTTTAATACCTCATAACAAATTCCCCCCGGCTCCCCTGAGATATAAGTTGGAACTCCGTATTTGACAGAGACCTGACATTTCTCTCATATCACATATACTCCAGTCTAACTTTATAATATTATCTTCTCTTTGTCTTAGTTTCACCCTTCAAGGGACTGTCAACGTTATTTCAAGTGCAATAAGCAAAAATGATAGAGATATCTTTGTTTATCGATCTGAAAATTAATAATGTTTATTGATTTCTCATAAAAAGCGAATTTTGCATCAGCGACAAAAAAAACTTATAGAAATCTGTTTTATGATTGAAAAACGACGATATCTTCCTCATTTTTGCTCAAGTAAAGGATGAAGACAACCGTTGGGAACAGGGCATGTACAATTCTTTAAATGGAATGTAACTTGAAATTACGACAGGAGCCCTTTGAAGATGCTTTCAAACAAACTAAAGTTCTATTAATACATAAATTACAGTATTAAAGCTCATCATTTAGGTTCTATACTTTATACAACGAAAATTCATAGTTCACGTAAATGATATCTCGCCAAATAATAATAAATTTTTGAGAATACCCCCATCCCCTTATCGCCAAATAATTATTAAGACTGACTCAAAACTAAATTGCAATATTTCAGAGCCTACTCCTACCATGTGAGCGCTGACGGTCAAACAAGACCAGTTCCGTTTCCGGCCGACGCTCTCATCGGTCCCGGTATTCCTAGAACAGTTAGGAAAATAAACACCCTTCCACACGGAGACGTTGTTTGTGCAGTAACCATGTCTAATCCTACTAAATATGTGTATACAGGAGGAAAGGGTTGTGTTAAGGTCTGGGATATTGCTCAACCTGGGAGTAAGGTTCCAGTGTCTCAGCTAGATTGTTTAACACGGGATAACTATATCAGATCTATCAAACTTCTACCTGATGGAAGGACTCTAGTTGTAGGAGGAGAAGCAAGCACTATCTCTATCTGGGATCTAGCTGCTCCTGCTCCCCGGAGAAAAGGAGAACTGAACAGTGCTGCTCCGGCGTGCTACGCTCTTGCCATCAGTCCCGACTCAAAGCTATGTTTCAGCTGTTGCAGTGATGGTAACATCGCTGTTTGGGATCTTCACAATCAAACACCAGTGAGACAGTTCCAGGGACATACGGACGGAGCCAGCTGTATAGATATTTCATCCGACGGAACAAAACTATGGACGGGAGGTTTGGATAACACTGTACGTTCCTGGGATCTCCGGGAAGGAAGACAACTACAACAACATGACTTTAGTTCTCAGATATTCTGTCTTGGTTATTGTCCAACCGGAGACTGGTTAGCTGTTGGTATGGAGAACTCTAATGTTGAAGTTCTTCATTGTTCTAAACCAGATAAATATCAGCTTCATCTGCATGAAAGCTGTGTTCTCTCTCTCAAGTTTGCAAACTGTGGTAAATGGTTTGTTTCAACTGGAAAAGATAATCTCCTAAACTCCTGGAGAACACCCTACGGAGCTTCAGTTTTCCAATCGAAGGAGGAATCCTCAGTTCTAAGTTGTGATATCAGCAACGATGATAAATATATCGTCACAGGATCCGGAGATAAAAAAGCTTCAGTTTATGAAGTGATCTACTAGATGGGAATATTTCCCTGGTTAAAATATGTGTGAAAATTTGTCCCAAATAGTTTGCATATTGACCTGAAGAAGACACACTATTAGAAATCCCTGCCCAGTGCAATCTATCAATCTCATCCCTCATTAATAATTGGTTTTTTTTATAAGTTTCCTTAATTTCTGATTCTGTATCCGTTCCTTCTTATTCTTTTTCCGTTCCTTTTCACTTAGTTTTATTCCGTCCTTGTTTATTGTTCACCACTTTAACTCTAGAGGGAAGCCATGATATGTTTAAGCCCCC